TAAATGAAATAAATAAAGTTTTCAGTTAGGCTTTAGTTGCCTAGAGAGTAAGCCACAGAAAGTACTGGCCCGCCATTATTAATTTAGGAGCAATATGTTTAATAAGCTTAGCAAATAACGAAAAAAACGACATTTTCTTTTTCCCAAAGCTGAGGAACTTTTATGCTAATAAATTGATATATGTTACGCATGATCCAACAGCCTCCATATAAAAAGAAGAAAAAAAAAATCTGAAATTTTTTATGCATACGTTCTCCGCATCCGCCGGTTTCGCGGTGAGCTTTTCTCCGGTGAGCTTATCTCCGGTGAGCTTTTCTCCGGTGAGCTCTTCTCCGGGATTCCGTGCCTTTCCCCCTGATCCGTCGCCGCTGGTCACTGAATCAAGCTTGTCTCTGGGCAAGTGCCTCAAGTTACAAGTATACAGTCGTCAGAGTGAAGTAAAACGCTGCTCTAGAGGTACATACAGCTTCGCGCACATTGCACTCGCAAAACACATCCCCACGGTGTCGATTTTTGATCGGTATCCAAGCGTGCGAAGGCACAGAGACGCAGCATTTTAGCGTGCCATGGAAGCTTTGATCACGCGCCGCGACCAGCGAAACTTGCACTCGACGAGTTGTGCCATTTTCCTGTGCACAGCGCTTTTGTAAACATTTTTACGAGCTCTCAACGGCAAGTCTCACGGTTTTCACAGGGTTTTAAGAAACTTATTCGGCGAATGGCGCCGAACGAGGAGAAAACGTTTCTTCGGCCGCTGCCATCAGCCTTTGCGGCGCTAGCAAAAACTAGATTTCGCTACATGCAAGATGGCCATCCGGTGGCCACTCAGGAGTCAGGCCTCTCGCGCTCGCGCTGCTAAAGTCCCTGCCGCTGCTAGAGCGGAGCATATACAGTTACTGTGTAGCCGCTGCCAGGCTGCAGCGACCCAAGCGGGGATGGCCTACACCACAGTGGCCTACAGTGCCTACACCATAGAGTAATATAGTAAACGTAAAGAGAGGACACAAGCGCCGATTCGCGGCCCAGATAGTGCGTTTCATACCCTCCGCTACGTGGCGCTTTTCTACAATTTGGTTAAAATTAATTAAAACTCTTTCTGTGAAAAGTATTTCCTTTTTAAATGGCAATGCTTTAAAATTGTTTAAAGTACTTAAAACGACTAAATAGATTAAATCAAATACGTCACAAAAACCACGTGATGAATGGCGCCTGCCATGGCCTGCCTGCCTGCACGCCGTCGCCTCTGCATCATTCTGCACGGCCTCTGCTCGTCCCTGCGTCGTTCGTCTGTGCCGTGCGTGCCGTCCATCTGTGCTTTCTGCTGCATCATGTTCGGTCGACTTTGCATCAATCAAGGTGACGCATGACCGCCCGCGTGCTCGCATGCTCGGTGTGAATTCGTGGAGCCGATCGGTTCGAGCTTCTCGCGCTGTTGTTTCTGCCGGGCTGTCTGGCTGCACTTGAACGTGTGTGCATGTTAAATTTCGATGAGATTGTTTTAAAAAAAAGAATTTAACTTACGACCCTGCACACGACATTGTCCATGGGTTTACAGATGACGGTGTTGAACGAACCTCTGACATTGCAGATAGAGCCCTGATTGTTATGCTGTCTGAAATTTCCAGGAGGTGCGTTTGCACACACTGTTGTGCACACTCCAACAACGTCTTCTGTTTAACGCAGGCTCCTCATTTCTCTCATTCGGGAGCTTAAAGGGGCGGTGCAATGATATTCAATTCGAATGTTTTTCACTTCACACGAGCTTACTGGCACTAGTGGGACTCAAGGATACTCGCACGCAACGCCACTGACCAAGAAACTCCTCTGTTGCACTGTAATTTCGAGGACAAAACCCAGTGTTTTTATTCAATCTCTCCATCGAAAAACCTGATGACATAGCTGGACGGTAGCAGTACCGCCCATGACGATATTTGAATACGGCTCAAAGATTGGACCCGAGCATGGCGTGGACACTCGATTTGGGCTCGTGATAATCGATAGCTCGAGAAACATTCGGGTAGTGTCCTGTGTCCAATCGCTGCAATGACGACAACAGCCGAACCATAACAATGTCTGGAACTCAGCGCGTGTCCTGTGCCTTGCCAACCCCAGCGCATGACTATGATCAACATTGGCGGCATATAATCGGCTCCAGATCACGGGGCCGCTTGTTCTGGCTGCGAGTTGAGGGGGTGAACTCTGCTCGTTTTTCTTTATTTTTTTCTGCGACTTCGATTGCGTGTGGTGAAAATGAACGGGTATATTTTACGGATCATTAACGTCAGGGATTCGTTCTAAGCGTTATTTGCGCAAAATACAAATATCAGTGCATCGCCCCTTTAAGACTGTTGGCTTCACAGTAAAGGCTGTGGTCTGTGGTTAGGGGGCTTCAAACGTAAACTTGGTGTGTGTGGTGATAAGCCATTTTTGAAGTTGACAACGAACACGTTTACTTTGTCTTTGATGTTCCGCACCTTCCCAAAACAACCAAGAGCCATATCCAAGCCCACAAACTTTGCTTTGGAAATGAGGTCATTGAGCGGTCTTCTATTGTTGAACTTCATTGTTCTATCCATGAGATTAGCTTGCAATTGACTCCGAAACTTACTAAGAGACACATTTATTCAAAAACCTTTGTGTAACATGGAAGAAAATTGTGCCCCACAGGTACTGAGTGCCTCAATCTTTCTTGTAATCATATCTCTTGTTTATGGAAAGGAACTTCCTGAGGCAGCCATGGCTACAGCCTATTTCTGTGATAGGATGTGCGTACTTTTTGATTGTCTAAATAGCTAAAAAATTCAAGAAGACAGGGCAGAAGTTGCGTCATGCCATTCTGAAGGGAGAACCTCAAATACTTGATTTTCTCCACCAATAACTCGGATGGATTTCAGCATAGCAGTTCCAAAGTAGGAGGCACCCATAAGCCATCATTGGGTGGCAAGTTACTATAAAAAGTGTCCTCATGCTCTGGGATGAGCTTTCAAGCAGCCATGACTTTAAGTTCTTACTTTCACTACGCCTGCAGCAAGACACACTTGAGAACGTTTTTGGAGCTATATACGACAAATGCTGGGCTGCAACACAAACCCAAAGGTGCATCAGTTCAACTCAGGACTAAAACACCTCTGGATAAAGAAACTGTTCAAACTGTCGGACAATGAAAACGTAGAAGATGACAAGGCTGACCTCCTAAAGGAGTTGCAAATATCTTCGCACCATGAAAGTTTAATTTCAGACAGTGTGGAATATCTTCCAATTGATAACTTCCCGCCACTAGAGGATATTTCTGAGCTGGCATCAGACATCAGGTCTAACATAAGTAATGACTCGTCCACGTTTTTATTACGTTTGGGGCTATTTGATCAAGCTTTTGCTTGAACAGACAACTTACAGCTGTGGCTGTTCTCAGCTGCTATCGGATGAGTCTAATAACTTGACCAGGCCTCACCAATACTGTCTTGTTCCTAAAGCATACCACGTGCCTGGAAAATTCTTCGGGAACTTAGTAGTACCATCACAGGCTGCCTTTCATTTCATTCAGCAACTAGAAAATCACTTTCTTCCCATAATAGAGGGTGTGACACATGTTCGAGGAGTGTGTGCCGCCTTGTATAGCACACTTTGAGGTCTGGATGGCTTTCGCCTTTGCCCAGAGGAGTACCACAAAGGGTTTTTAAAATTGTTTTGCAGAATACGCTTGTGTTGACATGTTTGATTTCTTAACCGGAATTCGGACAAAGTTCGGTTGCACTCTTCAGTGGCTAGTAAGAACGAGACAGATTTAACTGTTAATAGCGTATTAAGAGAGGCGGTTGCCAAACCAAAAACAAAAAGTGACTAAGTGAGCGGTGCAGCTTGCTCTCCAAATATTTTTTTCCTCTTTTTCCAGCGAATGTGTATCACGGCTCCCTAATAAAAATATTTGTCCGCTTTCTAAAAAAATTCGATAGAAAATAGCGCATAGAGGCTAGCAATATATGAAAGAAAATGTATCCACTTTTGTATCCACTGTCCATAGTTTTTTAGCCGCTTTTTTCTGAAGCCAAATTTCTTTTCTGAACAATTTCGGGGAATATTTAGGGACGTTGAATCTTGTCAGATTTCGAATAGAGTTCTCATTGTTTGGTAATGGCTCGCCCGCAGTAAGTTTGAGGCCATGCAAATTGGTGTTTTTTTTATATTTGCCGGAAATCGGGAATTTGTACTGTCCGGCGTTTGCTTCGCACTGTTATTATACTGTTATGACTGGTAATGATAGCGATGTCTTATTTATTTTTGCACTTACTTCCCGTACCCGAGTCGGCGTGAAAGTGAATGTATCATACAGCATGTTCTCCGTGGAAAGGTTTTGTGAACTGGGTTTCGCTAAGAATCTATTACGAAGCGTACGATATGTCGAAGTCCTTCATATTCATTTATTTTTGTGAGTATCGATCTCTTTCGTATAAAACATACAGAGCTTCTGAAGTAAATCCTGTATGCATGAATGTGATCCAATAAAATGTGTTCGAACCACTTACTGTTGTTGACCCCAAAATGTTCCACCAGCCAGGAGTCAATGCGGTGATTGTGTAACTTCAATGCTTTACAATATAAAAAGAACAAGAAATATATATATACTTCTGCTTTGTGAAGTAAGTTGAAATATTTTTTGACACATTTTGCACGGACTCTATCGTAAAAAATAAAGCAAAAGTGTGTCAGTATTAAAAAAAAATAAAACCAGCGGCTTCGGGAGTCAAGGTGCTCCCGAGAGATGAGCGAGGCGGGGAGGAAAGAGAGAGAGAAGGGTATTGGAGAACCGGAGCAAAAACGCCCAAACTGAAACCGAAACTAACTTGACCGGAAACGGAATCAGATTATGCTTAATACCGCCCGCTAGGAGCGCTACCTGTCACTGGTCTATCTGGGCCGCTGGGGCCTATGGCAGTGTCCGCTCTTTACCTTGTGTATATTACTCTATGCCTACACTGCTACACTAGCATACCGGCTGCACAACTCAACTCGCAGTCGCAGGGTCGCAGCTGCACGGCTGCACCAGCTGCACTCCGACTAGGTGCTCACCTGCACAGCCCGCCAATTTTTTGAGCCCAACTGGCATAGCAAACGCTAAGCAAACGGAGGAATCGCCGAACCCACGCAGTACTGCGCGGAGCTGCGACGTCGGTTTTTCTGAGATAACGTGGGTATTTTGGGAGCGTTTGTGGACTACACAAACGTCTTATTGACTGTTTTGCCGTTTTTATGGCAACCGTGTCTAGACATGTCAGATAAAACGCAAACTCGACAATTATATGCATAATCCGCGACGCTTATCTCTTCCAAGCCCCCGCCCCCCAATTAATTTTAACTCTGTTCTGATGCACTGTCTTTATAAGCGTCATTGCCAGCTTGTGTTTTGAAACCCCACGAAGGACTTTCTCGTCGAGACCGGTTGCTTTGCACAGGAGGGAGTAGCGATGGCAGCTGAGGGCATCGTGAACCTTGCCGGAAAAGTTGCCATCATCACGGGTAAGCAAGCATTCGCCCTACGTCGTCTGCGGTTTTCTTGGACCCCCTGCGGCGCTGTGCAGGCGCTTCGTCCGGCATTGGCTGGAGCACGGCGCTTCTGTTCGCGAAGCTCGGGGCGAGGCTCTCGCTAGCAGGACGCGACTCGACGAGACTGGACGCGGTCAGGGAGGCGTGTCGGCGAGAGTCGCCGTCGCCGGAGGACGAGGTATTTACTTACATCTTCAATGGTGCAATTTACCCCGTGAGTGTTACGTCGCTGCTCTAAACAAACCGTTGCTAGGGGCGTTGCTAGGGGCGAATGCATGAGACTGGCTTTCGTTCCGAAAGAACCATCGTTCAAAATCGGACGTGGAATTTCAACATCTAAAAAGAATAGATATCGAAGCCTGGACTTACGACAGAAGTTTGCCAAGAATCGGCTGTTTCGAAATATTTGTGACGGCAACTTCCGGTCCTGTGGACGTCTTGAGATACCTGCTGCAGACAACAAACACATACAGAATGGGTGCGTGCAGTAGCCAGCTCAGGCAACACCACCTAGACAGAAGGCCTCCGCATGGTTTCCTCTTCTTCTATGAAACGTCATCACAGTCGGATCGCGCTCGGTCGGCTATTGGACCCGAGCCCGACCTTCGACGCGCTGATTGGCCACGAGCCGCAGCCGAACACTGACGCAGCACTCGTGCCCAATCTCTCGCCTCGATCGATCTGACTATGATGACGCGTGTGGAGGCCTTCTGTCTAGGTGGTGTTGGCTCAGGCCCGTAGCCAGAAATTTTTTTCAAGGGGGCTCCACTTCCTAATTGGCCACGACGTCCAAGCATTGGAAGAAAAGCGGTGAAATGGCATCGAGCCGCCAGAACCCCACAATCTTTCTAAGGAAAAAAGACGATGAGCCTATGATGTGTGAGCTCGTCACCATTCGAAAGGCTTCTACCTCTCAACGTGTTCACAAAGATTTACCAACATCGTCGTGAGTCGGGAGCGCGGCTGCGACATTCCCGTCTGCGTGTTCATTGGGGGCTGATCGTTGGGTGCAGCGTCCTTTACTTCTTTGTGATGCTCCTGGAGCTGGTTGTTTACGCAGCAACCCGTTTGGCCGATGTGTTCAGCGCCCGCAGGACATGGGCCTGGTTAGTTCTGCTCAGTCTTGCACGTGGTGAGCCTGCTAGCATGTTTCTTTGTGCTGTGAGGTCGAGTCCCCTCCTGTTTACTGTCTTGCACAGGTCTCCCAGCCCCGATTTGCATGTGTAAACTACATCTGTGTCGAATGTGGAGGCTATGGATGTAAACCGGTGGGCCATCGTATGTACGTACATAGTTCGAACTGACGTGTTTGTAAAAAGCAAGAAAGAAAAAGTAGTATTTCTCTTGTCATTTGCGAAGTCGTCCTGGAGCTCTCCCCCCCCCCCCCCCCCCCCCCCCCCCCCGGCTACGGGCTTGCCTCAGCTCCAAACAGAGTAAATTGAGTTGGAGATCTCAGAGTGCCTACTGAATGGCAAAAGAAGCTCGCCTTTTCAGCTGCTCTTTTGCAGTTTCCACATCCTCCCCTATGGCAGACTGTTTCCGAATAAACTGGAAGCAGACGACGCCGAGCCCGATCGCATTTATTTGACGTTGGTATTGAAAAAGTCTTTACTAAGTCATGAGACAAAAAATAAGTGACTGTAGACATCAGCACTGCTGTTCGAAACAATCCAAAGTGATTGACCCCTGCTCAGGGCGATGCAAAGGCTGCTTCTGTTATAAAAACCGACAAAAACGTCGTCAACACACACATAATATGGAGCTCGGTGAATCTACGCTGCCAGTTACGATACTTTTATACGACCGTATGTTAGTTCTGCATTTCTTTGCAAACTTACCTATAAAATGTATTTGTATGCAGATGGGAAGTCAACCGCGCTTGGCGATCAAGGTTATGTTGGCCGAAGTGAGCGTCAGCCAACATTTTATGCTCGCATACATCCCAATTTAGCTATGCAAACAAAATATTGATCGGGATTATATTCTGCACAGACAGGACTCATCGATAATCACAGAGTTTCCGTGCAACGGCGACCAAAACACGGCATCAAATGAATGTTTGTGTGGTTTATTGTCATATCTAAAACAAACAAAACGCACTGCAAGGCATTTTCCGAAAAGAACCTGAGCTGGTAACAAAATTCGAAGACGTTGTTCGTTTTACCTTGAGCACATTTCATTAACAAAAGCGAGCCAACTGCAGACTCGTGCGCTGCCGTCGCAGCTTCTCCCGACATTTTGTTTGTTTCTCCTTTTTCAGCACTGAAACTTTGTCGGCGAACCGGAAATGCGTCATACCACATCCTTTTTACTCTTCCCATAGCATTTCAAGACTTAGTGCATGAGGTCACGACTCCTTTACTTTGGAGTAATGTGCACCGGAAGTCGCTTTTTTTTGTCAAGTGGAAGGAAGGCATTGAAACAATCGAAAAAGTATTCATGATTTGATATGGAAAAGACACACTGCTTACAAAAAAACTTTACGTTTTTATCGGACAAATTCTAACTTCACGTCAAGCTTTCATGCATTTGTCTATAACCAGTGTTGCTGAATTGTAGGAAATTTCCAACCTTGTGCGGAAAGCCTAACACCAAAGGGTAAAGATAAACTTAATCTGGACACATGTCAAATATTAGCTTTTTTTAATATATATTTTATTTTACATGCATTCAAGTTAATTTCCCTTTGTTCCTTAATTGTAACTATATATGGTTTGTGACAAATTTCCCACGATATGCAACACAGCCCATAACAACGGCCCCTGCAACGGTTTGTTCGGAGCACAGCGCCATGTTGCGACGTCATCGTTTATGGGGTCTGTGATGCGCATTTGAAACCCCGTTTCTGTGTTTCACATATTCGCCGCCAGGTTGCACCATTTTTTTCTTTGCACCCGAATACGCACTGGCGCCCCAGTCTTTTCCGCTGGGTGGCGTTGTTACCTGTAGAGTTTGGCTAAGTGGCGCAAGCTGCCGCCCAATTAAAAGAGCTCAGCGGTATTCATCCATCTATTCTGTAGAGAGTCTAGATTTCAAGAAGGGAGCCACTCATACCGTGGAGAACTCTTGCTATTTAAGGATGGATGATTCCTGCGCAAATTGGATGCATCTATGCATTGTCGTGTGACGAAGGAGGGTGACGGTCGGAGAGGCGAAAACCGGGTGGGGACGCTTCCGGCCTGCTCCACCTATTTAGTATTGAAAGTGCGGCCCACAAACCGTGCGACCTCGATCAAGCAGTTGGAAAGACTTAAACCCAGGTACCCTATAGTGCTCCGAACGCTACCAGCTGCACCAAATGGGTCGTCTGCCACTTGGAGTCACATGGTCAACACGAATTGCTTAGACGCGTGCACTTAGGGGCAGCCCGCTTTTGGGGAGAATTTGGAACTCAAAAGAGTCGGAAGTCTGCTGGCTTATTATGCTTGCACTTACTCCTTTCTGAACACTGGAGAGGAGGCGGCCTCTTCTCCAGCGTTCGCTCTGTGTAAACGGAAAGGTGGGAGGAGCTTCCCCCAAACTCTTACCCTGTCAACAACTATAGACAGGAACATTCTGGCTGCTACTTCCATTCCTACGGTGTAGTTCAGTTATTCAAATCTGAACTCTGCTTCTCATTGTCTCTGCAAGCAAGTTGCGACTGTTGTTTTCCTTTGCGCCATTGCAAAGACAGGGGTAGCGTAGCACCCACAGCATCATCGGTGGAGAAAGGAGATTGCTGGCTTGGGCTGGACTAACGTTTGGTGTGCAGTCTGCATCCATTCATACGTATAGCAACTGCTGTACGCGTCTCCTACGTAGCAACCTAAGTTTGGCGGACGAAAAAAGACGAAATTAGCTTGGTATGAGGAAATCTAATGAAGTGGCCACAAAGCGGTAGTACCTTGTTAGAACCCTGCGAAGACTGAGTCCAAAACCCCTCAGCTAGACCTTTGACGGTGTAAAACTGAGAGGGCAATTTCTGCGAGAATTCTTCCTTTCCTCTGTTAATTTGGTGGATTGTCAAAAAAAAACAAAAAAAACACCCTTTTGTTTTGTCCTCTTTTGCAAATTGAGGTTGCCTCTCGCTTGTCGCCTCTTTCCAGATTAACTTGACAGTTGGAGACCTGACCAACACCGGCATAGCTGAAAGCCTCGTGGAATCCACGACCAAGAAGTTTGGAAAGATAGACATTCTCGTAAGCAACTCTGCTGCCTTCCCCTTAAATTTCCCCTTTTAAAGCCCGGCATGGCCTCCCCAAGTCAAAAAGGGCTAATGTAGTCGGCGTCGCCTTTTTTGTGCCGTGTTGTTGAGGCTGGAGTTTCCCGCAGTGCCCCGACGCTGTCAGAAGCTTCGAAGCACATGAGCGCAAGGCTTCACCCGGCGCCTTTTTTGCACGAGAGCCACGTGGGTGCGAGGCGTAAGGCATGGCCACGTGCTCTTGCAGCCGTGCAGGCCCGCAGCTCTGTGGGAACTACGCTAGCTTCGACAGCGTAGCGCAAAAAGAGTTAATGCCAAGCATGGCACCCGAGGAGATCCTGCCTCCCGTGTTTCCGTCGAGGTGCTCGGAGAATAAAATGGCCTTCAGAGTGACTCCTGCCCATGTTCAGCAGCGGGAAATCTAATGGGTAGCTTGTCAAGGGATGGATTATGAAGACTGCCTGTCTCCTTGGGCCCAAAGGCACTCTCAATGCCTAGCATTTATGCTTCTTTTGTGTATCACCATGGTGTCACTTGACATCATATTGCTGCATGTGCAGCTGGCCAAGTAGGCAGTGCGCTTGGCAAGTAGCAGGGGTTCGAATCCTGCCATCGCTTGTTGTTTTTCTTTCTTTATGTAAATAGAGGATTCTAGAACATTGGAGAGCTGTGTCAATTGTTCATGCTTAGAATGTATAGTTCCAGAACGGAAGGAGGTAGAATGTTCTAGGCCCCCAGGTAATTCTCAAAAGAAGCTGCACCTCGCCATACGGAGTCACTCTGTGGCCAGCGCTTGACCCTGCGTTCACGCCGACAAACGACGCCCGCAACGCTGTCCCGTTACTTTCCGTTTTTTTTTTTTTTTTTTTTTTGCTTTTCTTTTGGCAGAAGTTCACCCAATTAAACATCTCGTTTCTTTCGTTATTTACCGCCTCGTCATTTGTCATTCGTGACAGTATGACCATCAAGAAAGCACACGGTCATGTGACCTTTTATAACGTCATGAAACATCAGTGCCTCATGTCATTACGGTCTCATATGACATCACAGTGTCACACAGTACGGCATCGTATACCCAGCGGAAGCTTTCAATTATTTGTCCGAGACGCCTTCTTTTGTTGACTGAGGTCAGAGTTGGTAGTGTGCATTTTCCCGAGCTTTTTCTGGAGCCGAAGCGAGCTGTGGTTTGTGCGGCAGGCGGGGAAGCGATTTTGCACTCCCGGACGACTAATGGACCGATATTCTTGCCCTTTCGGACAGGTCAACTGTGCAGGGATCATCGGCAATGGCACCATCGAGCAAACCACCCTGGAGCAGTACGACACCATGTTTGCCGTCAACGTCAGGTGGGCTGCCTCCCCACGTGGCCTCTGGCACAGCTGCTTGCGCACCTGACGGGCACAATCGACGCCTTCCGTGCTGCGGTAGAACATCTGGAGCGTCTCTTGAGCACACTGGGAAGGACCAGAATAGGTGTTTACTTCCAATGTGGGTTGGCCAAGTGATATTCAGACGGAATCGGCACCCGTTCCCCCTTTTAAAAGCGTCAACGGTGCGACGACATGGGTAGAGTGAAAGAAGACCGACAGACAGACTTTTAATCCGTCGCGTTGTTGCACCATTTGCACTTTTGAAAATTGTAACTACCAACTGTAGTCTGTGACAGGTTAAGAGTGAAGTGGAAGCTCCTCCCACCTCTTTTCAGTTTAGCACAGTGAATGGTAGAGAAAAGGGGACCTCCTCTCCAACGTTCACACTGCTAAAGTGGAAAGGGGTGGAAGGCCGAAGCTTCCTTTTCACCGACTATAGCTCACTCGTCAACGTTGTTCAACCTGTTCACCCATTTGAGGCAAAGGCCACAACCGGTCCCAGTGCTTTTCATGAATTTATTGGATGCCTGACGGTTTGGAGGAATGTAAAGTACCGTTATCACGGTGAGACGACAACGGAAGCGCGTGGTTATGGACGGCCAAGAGATACCGGCAAGTCTCATAAACCACCGGGAGGGTAAAGTGGCTGCCCCATTCAATGAGAGAGTGACAGCAGCCATAGCCACTGACGGGTTTACAATGGCAGAGAGATCCTTGAGTTGTCCTGCTTCCAGTGCAAGCTTCATACCTTCGATAACATTTCAGAGTCTAATGGTTGCCTTGCTTCTGTCCGCGGCAACCTGCTGTGGTTTTGTGCCCAAACTATAACCTCTCTACCTTGAACCATCTCTCTGTTTATTTCTTTTTACGGTGGTAGTCACAGATAGACAGACACTTCTGCCATTTTTACCTTGGCAGTGACCAGCGCCAGTGCTCGCAACAAGCACTCGTAGAGCATGCGGATGCCTACAAGCGCTCCAATGCGTGCGTCTTTTCGTCATGTTTGTGGCGGGGGCGGGATATTGACCAGAATTAAGTTCTCAGTTTGAGTTTTTGTTAATTTTGTCTACGAGCACAGTGAGTATCACATGATAAATAGATATTAATAAGATGGTAAATGCAGCTTTATGAACCTGTTGCCCCCCTATTGCCATAGTTCTGTTTGGTGTATCATCTTCTTTCATAGTTTGGCTGGTTTGGCTTGCGTGGTCGTCCTCGGGAATCCATTCATTTATTCAGAGGTGGCACTAGTGGTGCCATGTCTGTATAAGCTTGGCAAACATATGGTCGTGGTTCGATTTCTTCCCGACAGCTGTTGCTTCGCCATTGGGGAAATCAAATATTTTTTATTTTGGTTGTACTGGGAGTTGAGGCTGCGTATTTTCATTTTTAAATTTGACCTGTGAGAAATATCTCAGAAAAAAGTTACTGCGGCATTCATCAATTGCTTATTTTTGTGGCCCGTTCTTTGCATGTAGTTTTTTTGGGGGACACAACTGTACACAGCATTCACAGCAACTGTACACAGCATTCATTTGCAATGCTTACTCCTGCCTTGGCCCTCACCCAAATTGGCGTTCTGTTGCATCTGGGACATGGCCTATGTTCCCAGGCCACGGAAGGTGCGGGCAGTTCACTCGTACTGAACAGAATTCTTTTTAATCATTGTCACGCGATTTATGTTGTAGTCGCGTGATTTATACACAAGGGGGTAGTTCGAAATACCTGTGGTGCCACCTCTTATGTCTGAAGGCCCGTTCACACTCTTGCGACCGAGTACGACTGAGAGAGACGAGATCTGTTAAAACTTGTTAAATGTTTTTAAAATGAGGGAACACACTGGCATTGTGGCGCCATCTATGCGGTGACCCTGGAACTGCATTTCACAAGAGCGAAGGTTTTGCGGGATTTCCGAGGTCAAATATGCGTCATACCCATAGAAAGGCTCGTTTATAACATTGACAAAAGTTTTTCGAGCCAAGAAAGAAAGGATAATGCGCTAGAAATAAAAAAAAAATATGCCGGACCGCCGAGTTTACACTGCTTCCCAATAGATGGCGCCAGTGTGTTTTCTGGTTTAAGAAGTTTTAAGGAACCCAGGTTTAAGAGGTCGCAAGAGTGTGAACGGGCCTTAACAATAACTAACAGATACCACACATTCGTTTCAAAAGGAGGAAAAAAAATAGTACACAAGTAGTTTTTATTTTGCATTTGTGTGACAGGGGCTAATTTCCCGACTTCTCGAGCGGGTGGGCAGTTGCTTCACGGTGCCTTTAACTTCGGTGGCTGCTCTCCCCAGGTCGGCGTACCACCTGATGATGCTCACCGTGCCTCACCTGGTCCTGAGTAAGGGCAACGTCGTCAACGTCTCCAGCGTGTGCGGCATGCGGTCGGTGAGGACTTTTCTCTTTGCTCGACCCCGCCCGGCGCTTCTTCAATACCACCTAGAAAATAAAGCCTGTACCTTCCCTCCTCCGATGTCGTCACGGTCGATTCGTGCAGCGTCGCTTGTGTCTTGCAGTGTCTCGCAACAATGACACGCGGCGATGCCGAGACGCATGCCTCTGCCACTTTGCCGCACACTTTCACCGAGCGTTGGCTTATTTTCTGCGTAAGGTGTGTTGGGAATCCACTAAAGATGATGTGATGTGCACGCCTTCTCTTCTGGGTGGTATTGGTTCCTCTCTCACATGCCTCATATCCTGAAAGTCCCGTCACGGGGGTCCCCTTGTCCTTCTGTTTCCCAACATGCACTCGCAGGGCTAAGTTCCTCAGTGTAAAAGAGAGAAGCAAAACAAAGATTGGCAGCCCTTAAAAACGGCATCGGCTACTCTACTGTACTCTCATGAAGCCCTCTCCTCTTTTTCAGTTCCCCAATGTACTTGCCTACTGCATGTCCAAGAGTGCCATCGACCAGCTGACTGCCTGCACAGCCCTGGGTGAGCGCTGCTTCTATTTTTAAATCTTTATCGTCGTGAACGTGGTGCCTTTCGTTGGAATGGGACCTCATAATTGCCGTCTTTGTCAGACGACGGAGTCAATTGTCCTTGACCCGGCGATGCCATAAATGTTGACCCAATTGTCCAATGCTTTGCCCGTCTAAGCTAAGCTGCAGCAAGGTTCTTTCACATTGGAGGTTTGTGGACCTTTGCCGAATTCGTACGTGGCGAACGGGTAGCAAGGCTGCTTGGGAAGAATAAAAAGAGTTTGTACTGCTACTACATTTGAGAACTTTATTTCTTTGATGGTCGAGTATAGGTCAGGTTTTGTTCTCCAAAAAATAGTATAAAAAAGCTCAATGTGCAGATTGTTTTTAATTACCTGGGCACATGCAGTGCTTGAGAGCTGTCTAGGTTTAGAAGCATTAAATGAAAACATTAAAGGCACAAAGTTATCTCCCTTCTTTTCATTCGTGTCATTTCGGCGCGTCCGCTTTCGCGACCTTCTGGCAGCTTCCGATTCCTAACCGAAAGGACATTACGGAGCTTCTCCATCACACGATGAGCTCTCATCCTCCGAACTTAATTCCTAAAAGCGTCAGAAGTCTGAATTAAAAGAGACAGTGCTCCCTTTCGCACTGCCGCCGAAGCAGCCGGCGTGCTAAGTGAGCACTGCATGTGCGGAGCGTCTAATTTGAAAACTCTGAATAACTGGCAAAACACTGCGCAAACATAACGTTTACACGTATCCAAAGACGCAACAAATTGCAACACGTCAAGCGGTGCTCTCGGCCATCTTCAAACGTGCAATCACCGCCGTGCACATATGGCGACGACTGTCAAAAGGGTTAAGCCGCAGTCACACTGGTAATGCATCGCACAAACAGACCCCTTCTGCGGCCCATTTCTTCCTTGCATGTCGGTCCTGTCCCATTGGTCACACGGACGCCGTCTGCAGGCGTGTTCCAAGCATACGAATGTACGAAGCAAACATGCTCTGGGCACGACTGCAGACGCTTCTGGGACCGTGTCTGCAGCGACCATTGAGCCTTTTGTATGATTGTACGAGCAGTGCTGACCGTGGCTTTAACTCCCTCCCTGCATCCTGCAATTCACCGCGCATAAATAGGACATCCAATTGTTTTAAACTTGAATGGCATTCGGTCATAACAATTTTGCTGTACGAGCTTGCCTCTAATCTGTTGCAATTCCTTCTTCCGGCCAGAGTTGGCAAGCAAGCAAGTTCGGGTGAACGCTGTCAAGTGAGTCAAGTCTCGCTCATCGTACGGAAAGTTCGGGGTCGACCGTTTGCATTTGCACGAAAAGTGGATGACATAAAAACCTCGACCTCAATGTATGGAACGTGGCAACCTTTTAAACTGGTTCTTAGTGCAGTCATTGCCAACAATAGACCGGTCTCACAAGGAGTTGCACGACGCCACCGCTGCCGCGGTGCATTCTGGTACCTGTAGTTCTCCCCAGTTTTCTGGCCGCGTCAAGGCGCGTTGTACGTCCGGCGTTTGGAAATTTTCAGGTTAGCACAAAACTTTTAGTCGGCCGTTTACTCGCAGTTTTTACTGGGTGTCTTCACCCGTTCTGTGTCAAGGTGCTCTATGCCAGGCAAAAAGGCATAGATTTTATATCTTCCCGGAAGAAAGCAGCCCACGAAAAGAGTGTCTAAAACAGGTAAAGAGAACGGTAGAAGAGCGGCAGGAAAAAGCGTTTTTAGATTTGTTTCGTTATTTGATTCATAATTTATATTCACCCCATTCCACGATAACTAAAGAGTGTAAGCTTACACAGGGCATGAGACGTAGTAGCGCGTACCAAAGTGTTCCGTACGTTGGAATCTTTCAGAGCACTCGCTCCGTAGCGGTATATTCGTTGGTCTATCTCAATCGGAACTTCCACACTGCCTTGCGGCGACCGTTTTTAATACAATGTTTGCTTGATGCATTTTGGTGGTTACAACTGTTATTGATACATGTTTTGAGCACTACTGTGCTTCAAAAGATCAGTACAATCGCCGAAGAAAGAGCAGCGATCCTTGGTATGTATATATATATATATAACTTGAAATAAAACAACTTTTTCAATATCACTTAATTTTTTTTAATGGGCTATTATGCCACAACCTGATTTTGCTGGCGTTACTGATCCATTCTGTATTAACACCAATCAACACAGCGGAAAAAAGCATTCTACGTCGGTCAGCTCTTACCGTTCGGAGCTTGAGCAAACCAAATAAAATTGAATAGAAACTGTACACAAGAGCTCATCTCTACCCAAAGTTCTCAGGCATCTCTCATGGTTACGTTTCATTTAAATGCGAGTTGTTACGGCTCGTCGGGCAGGTTCTTTTTGTAGATCGTTTCTTTGTGTGCAGGCTTCCCCCCGCAGTCCATGTGTACCCTGTCGCAAAGGCTCTCAACCAGAATAGAACGAGTTTTAGAAAACTATCGCTTTCCGAGAATGTCTATTGAGCTCGTCTTTCTTCATTGTCGAATAAAAGTTATGCCCAAGCCTGCGCACTATATAGCTCAGTATTTCACCGACACATTTGACGCTGTTCCGCGGTGCTACACCAAGCCGATGGTCCCTCGAATTTTCTGCTTTTTCGTGTTGAGGTAGATATTCACTTGCTTCCAAGTTTATTGAGAGGTAGGAGCACCCGGAGTGCTCGAGGGAGTAGTGGCTTCGTCGTTTTTGCCGCTGTTGCAGTAAGACCACCCCGTGAACGCAGTGGGTTCACTCGCGTTCACGAAGGCGAAGAAGCGGACGACGACGAAGCAGACTACAAAGCAATTCTAAAGCGATAAGACGACTGAAACTGCTTTTTTTTTTGCGCCTGACGACAAACTAAGGCATCACAAACAACACAGTCTTATAAAGTACTGATATGCAGGAGAATCCAAGCTAACACCAGGACTTCCCAAACTATGATGTACGCCCACATGAGCCCTTTTCAGCCGGGAAGCCGGAGAGCGATGACTACAAGTACTAGCATGGCGGCGGCAATACTTCCGGAATGCGCGCGCCTGCGCAGTTCGCTTGGTGGCATCGGTCTATTGTTGGCAATGACTGTTTTGTTCCGAGTCGTCAAGGCTAGTGTAGGTTCTGGAGCACTGCTGTCTTGCACCGCCGTGAGAACATGCGACTTGTCTGGCGTCTCGTTCGCGGGCGCCCTCGTGCAGAGAAAACGTCAAACAGAAACGTGCGCAGGTGGAAATGGCTTTGACAGTGTTGGAGCGTTGCTGAAGCTATGCAAGCCTTGACAACGTGACACAAAACAGTTGACGCCGAGTATAATGGCAGCCAGAATGGTATGCATGGCAATTTGGCCCGTGAACTACAGCTGTCTCGGTGGTGCATCCTTGCAGCTCTGTGCACTGTCACAATTTTTTAACGCCCTGTTTGTTTGTTTTTTCTTTTTTCAGCCCCGGCGTTGTTGTCACGGAGCTTCAGAAGCGCGGTGGCATGTCGGAGGAGAACTATGCAGCGGTGCGTTTCTAGGTGCCTCTAAAACCTGGACATTCAAAGCTGTGCATTCAGTTTGATTCTGGCACTAACTGTTAAAGCGGCAAATGGCTGGCATTTTCTGTGACTATGGCACACATCCGGATTGGAGTGTAAAGCGATAATGGGGGGGGAGCAAAATAATGACTAAAACCCTTTAATTCACTTTTTAGATATTCGTTTTAGCTGCCACATTTCAATTAAAGAGTTTTTGCCCCTCTATAAATTATGCCGTAGCTGTTACTAGAGTTTAGAAATACTAGTTGAAGTATAAGCGCTTACTAGGTGGCGCAAGCCGCCTCCCAATTCTGCAAGTTCAGGCGTATTCATCGATTCATGAATCCACCACTTTCGAAAGAACTGCTGCCACCTTTCAGAGGCGTATTTCAAGGATTCCTTGGTATGAAACGAAGGTTACCGTTTAAATGCAGAGAGAAGAAGCTTTTTTGATGAACTTGGGGGGGGGGGGGGGGGGGGGGGGCAAAACATAAGCCACAGTGGGTGCAAAAGCGACATTTCGAAAGTTCAGTCTTGGTCGTCCAAGCTCCGCGGACCTAACAGGATATCGTCTCATTGCTGGAGAAGATGTTCTTGGTGCCCGTGTCACACTCGCGCACAGTTCATGCCAAAAACCCTCCAGACAGCAATTCAGAAAAAAAAAAAAAGTATTGCAGATTCTGTTGGATGCGTGAAACTTCCTAGCATCATTAGCGATAGCTGCATCTTGTGGCGGCACCGATACGCAATCGGTGTTACGTAATGTATTGGCTGAGAAGCTGAATTTGTGTATACGTCACATGACATTAGGTCATGGGATGTCAATTTCTTGCTAAATTTAACAAGGAAACTGAATTTATGTATAGGTCAAGTGATGCCATTTTTTCCTCCTAAATCTAGTGGGAAAACTGAATTGGTGTTGAGGTCAATTTTCCCGCTAAATCAACTTAGTCCGGCTTCACGAAATTTGCAGCGACTAGCCTTGTGGCATAAAGTCATGTGACATCATTTTCCCTGCAAAATGTAGCAGAGAAATCGAATTGGTGCGGATGTCACGCGACGTCAATTTTCCCGCTAAATCTAGCGGGGAAACTGATTTTGTATAGAGGTTACATGAAATCAGGTCACATGACTTTAATTTCCGAGCTAAATTTAGCAGGGAAACTGAATTTGTTTAGGTCATGTGATGTCAATTTTCCCGCCAAATCTAGCGGGTAAACTGAATTTGTGTATAGGTTACGTGACACAAAGCTACCTATGTGACATCAATTTTCCTACTAAATTTAGCGGGGAAACTAAATTGGTGTTGAGGACACCTGACGTCAATTTTCCTACTAAATCTAGCGGGGAAATTTGGTTCGGCTTCACTTATTTCGGCTTTGCATGGACGACGAGAGCATAGTTTGCGTAACGAAAAGGTACACGTCTTTATTGCTCGAAGCATATGTACATTTCAGACTGAATTCAATGACTCTGTGAAATAATCATAGTTGAAGTAAGTACAGTTGAGCACCTTTCCTTGAAGGACTTCCGATGCGTAAGCACTGCTGGCACTTGTTTGGGTGAAGTCCATGCATAGTTATTTTTTGCGGCGAGAAAGCGTAGTTAATTTTTGCGGCGAGAAAAACTGGGTTCTCTTTTCTCTCGAAAACCTCATATTAAATCCCCCTTTATGTGTACATAGATATGTTGCAATTTGTTATTTGATTTGGACGTACACGTTTAAATTACAAGACAGTTTTTTTTTTTTTTTTAACTGAACTATATATTTTGTGCAGGGTACTGTTGAGACCCGTTATAACGAAGTCGGTTACAACGAAATAGTGGCTACACCGAAGCGATCACGATTTCCCATTCTCTTGTGCACTTCGTTAACCGAAGTCGGTTATAACGAATTATCGGATATAGCGAGGTGATTTCCGGTTCCCATTGACTTCGTTATAACCGGTCTCAACAAAATGAACTACCCCTTTATGTGTACGTAGATTTGTCAAGATTTGTTATTTGATGAGGACGTACACGTTTAAAACATAAAGCAAAGTGCTTTTTTTTTCTTCATCTGAAATATTTTGTTTTGAGTAGGGTATGAACTATGCAGCAGCCTTGATTTTTCCTGGGGTAACAACAAGTTTACAGTGACCAGCATATTTCGGTGTGCTTTGCAGTTCCTGGAGCACTGCAAGTCTACGCACCCCCTGGGCAGGCCCGGAGATCCCGACGAGGTGGCCAAGGTCGTCGCGTTCCTAGCGTCGGACGCCGCCTCTTTCGTAACGGGCATCACGCTGCCCGTGGACGGCGGGCGCCACGCCACCTGCGCGAGGTGACCGGTGCCGAGTCTGGCCGCGTTCCTCCTCTAAAGCACGGTGGCCGATCGAACATTTTGCTCATGCTGCAAGAGCAGTGGACTTGGGAACAATAAAGGTGTATGAGATCCCTTTCGTGCAGTCACCCTTGGCTTTCAAGTTGAGGAAACTTAGAAAGAGGGGCTCCCGACTCATTGCACCTTTGTACGAAACGGCGTTCCAAGGAGACTTGTCCCTTTTAGGAAGAGCGCCGCCGTTGCATTTTGCGTCGGTGGAACTGGAATGGGAGCTTGTTACATTTTTGCGGGGATGGCGTTAGTGGTATAGCGAATAAGAGTACTGCAGTGACCATCCTTCATTCCCCCGACCTTGACCATTTCAAAGAACAAGACTTAAGAGCTCCGACTGTTATAACAAAGATATAATATAAAACCGTATCTTGTTCGTAAATTGTTCCGAGGCTATCTTCCCCTTTATGTCAACTTTAAGCAACGGTAACACCATAGCTTAAAGCTTCCTTTATTAATATCCTGTTTCACTGTATCTGGTTTCCTCTGGACTGTCAGTTTTTTTTTTTTGAGTGATTGAAATTCTTCCTGCTCACACCAGAGAAACGAGGACAAGTCTCTATTAGAAACGAATTGTATTAAGGGGTGACACCACCTTCAAGGGTCAACTTTTAAACGAGTTGCTCAACATTGACGAACTTTGGAGGGTTCATTCATCCCGTTGCCTAAATGCACTTTATGACGTTTCATCTCCGTAGGGCAATCAGCTACGGGGGAACGTATAAGCTACGTATTAATGTAAGTCGTTTCACTTGGCTAGAAAATCTCTCATAAAAATGCTGCCGAATATTGAGCATTTCTAAGCTTCAGCCTTAACGAGAACATTAGGGGGGGGGGGGGGGTGCGGCTATCTTTTTTTTATTTTGAAATCTTTTCTTTATGCAAAATGGAAATTTTAAAACCACACAATGGGACACTTTCTTCCCACCAAAACCCTACTTTTTGGCAATAGGAACTTTATTTAAATAAAAAATAAATATCTAGTCACATTCCTCATTAAATTTAAGTTCAGAAACATCCACAACAAAGAATAAATTCGGCAATTCATTGAAATTATATTCCTAAGATCGAAAGTTGCTGCAAAAAAAGGAAAACTGAGAAAAACCTATTTGAAGAGCATAGGTGGTGCTTTCTGAAACTCCATCTCCTGCATTGTCTTGCTGAGCGAGTTCGAGCTTGAAACGCTCGAACTCGCTCACGAACGAAACCATAGAAAGATACTCAAAGGTGTAACATTAAAGACGAAAATTCATGTAAACATTCGTCTAGATGTTGAAATAGAGAGAAGACCAGATCATTGAGTGTGGTATAGTCTTTCCAGAGATTGATATCATGGATAGCCTAGATTGGGGAAAAGATTCATAAATGGATTCTCATCAAATTTCAAGAATGTGAATTAGAAGGATCCGGTTGAAACTTTAGAAAAGTAATTGGAATGAATATGGCAGTCACTAAATTTCAACCATTGAAAGGGGCAACATATATCCCTCTATCAAATGACATGAAGGCTGTGATTAGTGTTCAAAATAAGGACAACAAATGTTTTATGTGGGCTGTACTCTCAGCATTACACCCAGCAAACGATTATGTTGATAGTTTCCAAATGTGAGGGTTATCAGAATGAATTAACTTTTGATGGCACTGAATTTTTTAGTCTCAGCCAAAGATTATCCAAAGTTTGAAAGACAGAATAAGATAAAAATTAATTTTTGCCCTCGATGGCACCATAGGTGTACTCGATAATGGGAAAATAACTTATTATTAAAGTATAGTAAGCCTCCTATTGTATGAAGAACATTATTGTTGGATAAAGAATCTAAGCAGATTAGTCTCCCACTCGGAAGATAATGGAAAGGTATAGACATGCGAATGTCTTTATCAAACTACGAAGGAAGATATTTCGAATGACCATAAAGAAATTTATAAAAATAATGAAATTGGAAAAGTCGTATTATATTGAATTCAACAAGTTTTTTTTTTTTTGTAAATTCACTTTTGTATGCTATCCTTGCTGAGTTTGAATCGCCAATGAAAGAGAATGCAGGAAAAATATAAATACAAAAATCGCATACCACCCAGTTTTGGAATCTATCTTGTTAGTGCTTATAAAATATAAAGGTTCCACTGTGTGTTTATTGTGGTAAAAATACTGCAAAGTTATTTTGTGAAAAGATTACAAATATTGCTAAGAAAATTCTTAAATTACTAGGGTTAAACAAAGAAATGATTCCTATATATGAGAAAGAACGAGAAATATACGATAATGACCATGAATGCTACATATGTCTAAAACCATTCCAGGATAACAAGGTAAATGATCACGATCATTGGAATGAAAAATATAGAGGCCCGACCTGTAACAGCTGTAATGTAAATTATCATGTCTCAAGGTTTATTCCAGTTTATTCTCATAACTTATTCGCATTTGACTGTCATCTATTTATAAAAATCCTAGGATATAAAAAACTAGATTGGAAGCTCCTTCCAAACAACGAAAAAATATATATATATATATCATTCTCAAAAATAGCAAAAATCAATGATAAAAAATCAATTGAACGAAGATTTCTAGGTAGCTTTAAATTTATGAACAAAAATTTGAATGAACTTATTTTAAACCTATTTAAGAAACAGTTAAGAGGGACCTCCAAATATCTCAATGACGACATCCTGTTACAAAAAGACGTATTTCCATATGATTACATAAATTCTTTTGAAAGATATGATGAAACCAATTTTCCTTCAAAAGGTAAATTTACAAGTAAGATAACAGATGAAATAAAATATGAAAACAAAAAAAAAATTGCAAAACACTAGGAAAGTGTTCTGTCCCAGCTTTATCTCAAACAATTCGAGAACTGCCTAGATGTTTGTCTGGAAACATAGATTGGACCCATGTTGGTACTATGTATACAACTCCGGATTTAGCGCGGGATGCAATGTTAAAATTGACTAAAATTAAACTTTAAAAGATTACAAATATGGATATGTTCCTTATGATAGAAAAAGGACTGAGAGGTGAAATGACCGATGTAACACACATTTTTGAAATCAAATAATAAATATCTACCAGATTGTGATCCAGCCAAACCATCAAACCACCTAATGTACTTAGATGCAAATAACCTATATGGATGGGCCTTTATCCCAACCGTTACGAGTTTATAGATCCTCATGAGTTCTTATCAAAAGAATATGGTTACGTCCTCGAAGTCAATCTTAAATATGCCAAAGAATTACGCGGTAAACATAACGATTTTCCATTGGACCCAAATTAATAAACAGAAAAACTTCTCTTAACCCTAGAAGATAAAAAGAAATATGTTGTTCATTGCATAGGTGGCCTTAAATAAATACATTAAACTTGGAGTAAAAGTAACCAAGGTACACCGAATTCTTGGATTCAAAGAGAAACCTTTTATCAAGGATTACATAGACTTAAAGATAAAACTACAAAGTCAAAGTAAAAACGACTTTAAAAAAGATTGCTTTAAGTTAATGAACAATGCCGTGTACGGAAAAACGATGGAGAATGTCAGACACAGACAGCTTATAGAATTAATTTCAAATCTTTAAAAAAAAAATGTCAAAAACTTTTAAAAAGAGTAAACTTCAAATCCAGAAAAATATTCTGTGAGGATTTTGTTTCTATTCGTTTTCACAAAACAACAATAGTTGCTGACAAGCCAATATAATATTGGAATGTCAGTTCTAGATTTGTCAAAGACCTTAATGAACGACTTTCACTATAATGTTCTGAAAAAGAGATACGGTGAGGGGATAAAGATTATCTATAACATCTACAAAATTATGAAAAAAAAAGGAGTATTTTGATACCTCGATCTGATTATCCAAGAGATCATGAACTACTTTTCTAGGATAATAAAAAAAGTAATTGGTAAGTTTAAAGATTACTTGAATGAAAATATCCTAATGGAATGTGTTGCACTAAGCCAAAATGTTATCCATATGAAGTTTATTGTACACAATTATCAAAGATGGCCAAAGGAATTAAAACATGTAGTGAAAAGGAATCTAAACCTTGACAATTACAAATAAGTATTAGAAGATAAAAAAAGTTGTATAGCCATAAACCAACATTTAATAAAGTCGAAAAATAATGAAACGTAGAGACAGTAACGATGAGAGCCCCGACCGTTCTGAGTGATAAAAAGTTACCTTAAAAGATGGAATAAGCTCATTAGCATATGGACATTATTTGCCAAAGGGATAAAGTTTTTCTAGTATAAGATACCAATTATTCAGTGTGATCTTCTCACCCTTTAATCAATTTTATCATTGTTAACTAAGAAGCTTGTAAACGATAATTCAATCAAGTTGCTGGATTGGTTTAATATATCTTCCTGTAACCAAAAACATAAATCCCAACTTACCATATGAATTTGTTCTGTGTTTTTAACACAAGTTTAATGTGATATAAACCATGTTATTTAAATCTTATTTTTTTGTCAACAAGATCCCCCCAAGTGGTCCAAATGGTATTTTTTCAGAAGCTAGCTCAAATTTACTTATACATGCTATACACCTCTTTGGTTTTAGATACTTTTCTTTTGATATTTCATGGCTTGCTTTTAATTTCTTAAAATTACTTTCATGGCTTTTAAGTTTTCGTGGTTTTCTTTTAAATTCTTATGTTTTTCATTGTCTACCTTGTTTTTATTCTCCAGGGTTATAAGGTTACCAGCATCAAGGTTTTCACTGGGTTTCTCAACATTTTCTGACATTTCGTTTTTCATATCGTAATTTCCTTGATCATTGAATTGAAACCCAATCACCGGATCTCTTGAAACGTTTGTCTTTAAATCCCAGTATCTCGTTTTATACATTTATTTAAGTAAAATAGTTGTTACCAAAATTTATTTTGAACTCATTATTCACTTTATGAAATAGTAAAAAAGTTATATTTATGTCGTGTTATAGGGGTGTAAACCCTTTTAAATTTATCTAATGCAAATTCACTTTTAAATGTTGTCATGCTGCTTTTACCTTTAAATCCAAACAAAGTGGTATAGTTACTATGTAAATCATGGGCGATAAATATGAGTGAGCAATTCTTTCTTGAAATTGGAATCAAATCTGAAACTTGCTCCCAGAAATGTTTTATCTCGAGTACCCCCTTCTGAAGTCATCAATAACTATAAAATTTTGTTTAGATTCATCAAAAATCATTAACGTCTATTCATTTGCATCATCACTGAAGAGGGCTACTTCTTCACCTGTCTTTTCACTCAACTTCTTATAAATATTCTGAAGGAATTCATATTACTGTTCACTTAGCATTTTTGCATGCAGATACAGCCTGTTGTAATAAACATATTCAAACATTAAATTAAAAATAGAATTTGTTTGGCCAAAACCACTTGACCATGTACTGTATTTCGAAATGGCCGTACCATAGTACACATCCATTAATATATTTTGGTCCTGATATAAACTCCTGTCGTCACGCCGCCGGCGCCTCCACTGGATTCTGTGCTCCAGATTTTTCCGCTCAGAAAGGGGCGTAGCACGAACTTCGATCACATTTTTTTGTAAGGAAATAGATGTCGCACGAGCATAATTTTTCGATTTCTGGGATGCTAAGATCCCGTAGGATGAGTTATCATCACCAAGAACAGACGATTTCAGAAACCTCTAGTTGGAGGTCTTAAAAGTCTTCTTTGAAACGGTCAAGGTCGGGGGAATGGGGGGATTGTCCAGAACTCTTTTTGCAAATTTAGCCGAATTTAGTAGGCGTTGGGGATTTTTATTAGCGCCCATTTCAACCTTCGACTTCGAGGAATGGTCGAAACCAAAAGACCAGAACAAATGTGATTGAGAGCGACTCAACACGTAGTTTGATGAAAGTATTTTTGCTCGATTGCTTTAGTTTATTTACGAATTATCCGGCACATTGTTTTATTAAAACCATGCAACTGTAACATTAAACCTAACGAACCACTCCAGTCTTAGAAATGTGATGGGAAAGCATTCCTGTTGGACGACGAGAATGTTGTATTTAAATTTTTCGCAAGTTCTATACACACTATTTAGATAGCACCGTTGTCCACCATTGCGCCCGTGTTGTCAGGTTCGCGTCCCCGTGGCGCTCGACCTCCATGTTGTTTACCGTTGAACCAGTTGAATAAACAGAGTACGCTTCAGCCACCGACCGTATCGGTTGTCTCCTTCCTTCCGGGGCTCCCGCGCCCCCGGCCCGCCGGTCACCACTACGGCACGTAAGAACCTCGTCTCTTCCGCAGGCCCACGCAGGCCCTGCAATTCTTTTTATTTTCTCGGGTGACCGCTTTTCTTTTATACAACAGAGAACGCATTCCAAGATTCAGAAGGAACGAGAAACGAGCTTTCGTTCCTGTTTTGAGGAATGTGTACAACACTGACTTGTTATTGACTAGTAAATCTGCCGCACTACTGCAGCTACGCTCTGCATAGGTGCGCTTGTGATTTTCCCGACCAAGCGGTAAATGGTGGACCGCCAAGGGAAACGCAAACAACGAGCTTCACGATGTCCGACACAAGAGATCTTAATTGAATGCCCCTCAGTAAGGTGGGCGCGCCTGCTTCTTTGAGCACAGTGCACTAATCCTCGGAGGTGCTCGGGGGAGTTTCAACCTAGTAGCTGTGACTCAGGTGCTGCGTCGAACCTTTCGGGGTATGTGTTCGCTCTAACCAGGCACGTAGCCAGGGGGGGGGGGGGGGGGGGGGGGGGGGGGGGGGGGGGGGGGTAGGGAGGGAGGGGGGGAGGGGGAGGGGCATGGGGTTCGGCTTCCCCCCGAAAACTTTGATTTTGCTGGGGCCTCCTCTCCCCCCTTCCCCTCATACAACATTTTGTCATGGGTGCCCCCCCCCCCCCCCCCCCGAAATAAAATCTTTGCTACGTGCCTGGCTCTAACAACTGGCCGATAAGTAAGGATAAAAATGAAAGACGTTTGCAATTTTCTGTAATGCGAAATTAGAGCGCAGCTCTTGAGAAGGAGGAGGGGAGGGTGTGCCCCTCCTCCTCTCCTTCTCCGCTGCCATTTAGCGGGAGAGTTTCGCTAAATTTCCCGTTAAACTTAGCGAAAATTTCCCCGCTAAGTTTAGCGGAGAAATTTTCCCAGTATGCAACGCGCAATTACGCCCGGTTGCATTATTCCCATGATGCAACGCGCGCGGTTCCGCCGATGGCGACGGCGACGTCGACGCCGCTCAAGCCGGAAACGGGCGCCTAAGAGCTGCGCTCTAAAAGGCAGAATAAACTCTACGTGCCACTCGCCGGAACATTTCCAGCGTAATCCGCCATCGTATACATTTGAGATCTCTATTGTTTCGACCATCAAGCTTTCATGACAACAGCACGATGAAGTCATTGTACTACAGCTTACTGGGTGTCAATACAGTGGGTCTAGTTCAAAGGAATCGTTGGGTTGAATCTACAGCGTAGAAAACTGTGCAGTCACACGCAACCACGACGTTCTCGGAGCACTCTGACAGAGTCGCACATTAGCTTAGTGTTTTGTTTGTTTTTTTCACCGGCAAAGCTTTCGTGACAATAGTAGGATCATGGTGTACTTATATACTGCTTACTGGGTGAATTGGTACAATGGGTCTCGTTCAAACCAGTCATAATTATTGGACCTACACCGCATAAAACATGTGCAGTCAAGTGCAAGCATGATTTCCTCAGAGCACTAGACTCGGTTGGATCGCAGGGTGCACATGTGTACATGCTATGTAATAAACAGCGCAGGGACACGGAAGACTTCTTCGTGTTTGTCTTCGGTCTTCTATTTGTCTGTGCCCCTGAGCTGTTTAGTATTACCCGTTAAAATGAACTATGCTAGCCCATGCATTCGTCAACAATGCTACTGGTTCTCCCGTTCGTCGGCATGCCGCCTGAGCAGCGCCTGCATGTGTCCGATGTAGCCGATGGCGCAGCGCAGCGTCTCGACCTTGCTGAGCCTCTTGTCCTTGTCCCTGGGCGAGAGGGGCAGGTGGCTACGCAGGCGCTCGAAGCCCTCGTTGACGTGGCGCACTCGCTGCCGTTCTCGCTCGTTGCGACGCCGGATGAAGCCCGGCTCCAGCCAGCAGTCGTACGCCGAGTAGGGTACTGGCAGCGGGATCTTGCACTCCGGCGAGAACGGGTCCGCGACGGCCTGCAGCGAGACTGGTCTAGCACATCGGAGCTCGCAAAAGAGACTCGTCTTACGGTGGGGCTGTGCGGACAGCAAGTCGTCTGCTTCTTGCACGGGGGAGAACGACTCCGGGCCCATGATTGGCCTTGATTGAAAGGATAGTGGGTAGACCTCATTTCTAGATGACTCGAGGTCTACCCACTATGTTTTCTATCAGCCAATAAGAGCTCGGCGCTCTGACATCATCGCAACCGCTGTGCAAGAAGCAGATGGACTTGCGCTCCGCACAGCCTTCGACCTCGTGACTGCCTTATGTCACTGCTCTATCACTTTTTAGTTGTTGAATGACACATGCCACCAAATGTACCAGGTGTCCGTAAAGAAAAGAAAAGAACTGTGTTCTTTCACCCATGTAATTAAACTTCTACGCATCGCAGAAAGCTGGAACTGCGTGAGTATGGAACGCTAACAAAAATAAAAAGACAATTTTTTTTTTTATGAGTCGACGTTTGGGTAAGGTTAAAACCGTTTGAAATGACATTGTGGATGCATGTGACATTTACATGAGTGAAAATCGCTTGTCAGCACGAAATAAAACAATGCCATCTTTCTTGCTATCATGTTCTTTCATTTTTTTTCCCCCCGCGGATTTAATCGTTACATGCGCCCGCAGTCATTTCTTATTTTTGACGATATTAGCTATATGGATGTCGACCCAGTTTCGTCCCGATAGGGGTGAGACGGGGGGGGGGGGGGGGGCGTTTGGGCAGTGCAAAAAAAAAAGGGGGGGGGGGTTGGTGACCCAAGTGACGCCACTGTGTCGACCCAGGAACATCTCGTATTTCTCTTTTATCCTGCGATTACCCAGGTAACGTCATCTCCTCAAACCTTCGTGTTTTATCACAGCCTTTTTCTCCTTTTGTCTTGAACTGAAGTAAGCCGATGTTTTGGCAAACGCTGAACCGGTAACACATATATTGAAAATCGGACCCTTAACAAGCCGATGAACCCGATATCAGAATACTACAATTATCGTGACCGAACTGGATCTTTTTTTTTTTTTTTTTTTTTTTTTAAGTTTTATTAGCTTTTTGAACCTATATCCAGCCTGCTACCGGGTTTCTGTGAAAAAAGTTAACCGTTTTTTTAATTCATTGGAAGAAATGAACTACATTTGAAAAGCGTGTTTTAGAGACTAATTACTACACCCTTTCAGTACCCCTATTTCGAGTAAAAAGCCTTCATAATCGTAAAATGGGGTTAATCTGAGACCGGGGTAGAGAAGACATAAAAACCTAGAAGAGTTTGAGACGTCGTCCTGTCTATTTTCTGTCTCTTCTACGTTTGGATGTTTCTTCTCTATCCCAGTCTCAGGTTAATTCAACATGGTTAATATTCACCAGTTCGCCTGCACTCTTACGATATTTTTTTTCCCTGTAAAATAGGGAGCTTTATAAAACACCCTTCATTTTGATGGGTGTTAAAAGGGTGTAAGCGACTTTTTCACCGACTTCGAACAACTTCAGGGGTGGCTGTTTTAGGTACTGCGGGTATATCGAATTACGGCCTGAACCAATCTGTCGCTCCCATCGTAGCTCGTTCCCTCGCTATGGATCACCTAGATAGATGGTATAAAGGCTGGCTACCTGTCTTCACTGATGGGTCGACTAAGCCCGAAACAGCAACATCTACAGCGGCATTTCTGATCTCGTCCATGGCGGTGCAGCAAGCTGGTAGGCTTAATTTTCCTACACGTCAACAACTGCGGAACTAGTAGCTATCTGTAAGGCTCTTGAGGCGCTGCTTGTACTTGAGCCTCAAGCGGCAGTTATACTAACAGATTCCAGAAGCGCCCTTTGTCAACTTGAAAACCTGGAAGATGCTCCACCACTCGCACAGGAAGCCGCCCATGTAGCCCGCAAAGTTGAGGCCAAGGGATGGAGACTGGCATTTCAATGGATTCCATCTCATTGTGGCATTAAAGGCAACGAGCAGGTGGACTCTCTGGCGGCTAAGGCTCATGGCCAGGAGACCCCAGAATACTTCATCCCCCGATTCAGTGAGGCCAAGCGTCTTGTCCACCTGATCACACGAATGGGGCATCCTCATGACGGTGTCGCCTCTGGCAATGCTCCTCCTCCCTATACCGGAGTCGAAACTCAGCCGAAAGGAGTCTAGCCTTCTACATCGCCTGAGAGCGGGCTGCCCGTTTACGGCAAAAACGTTGCACAAGATTTCACGCAAAAATAGTCCGAATTGCGACAGCTGCGGACCCTGGAGGACACCGAACACGTGCTGTGGTCGTGTCCAAAATACGGCAGCGCTCGAACTGTGCTTCATACTGCCCTGCAAACATCCCGCACGCCGGTGACAACGCCCCGCCAACTGATGTTCCCGAACGGGGGCAAGCGCCTTGCAGAACACACTTTTCGAGCACTTCTAGAGTTCCTGGAAGCAAGTGGCCTCGCAACTCGGCTGTGACGCCATTGCTTTCCGCCACAGAGCTGTGACGCCATTGCTTTCCGCCACGGTTTAGTACTTTTTGCTGCAGATACTTGCAGATAACCTAGATACTTGTCACCGCTGTATAATTGCGGAGGCGGTCACCCGCGAATGAGTATGATTCCGGTCTTGCGCGTATACTTCATTGCGTGTGTATATTTACGGTTTCTGTGCACGCGCAACTGGGTGCCATGCACAACTGTGCTTCTAAGATTAAGATTACCAGCACCCTACTTATAGGGTGTTCCTACAACACCCATAGGGTAAGGGTGTTAACCTTGGGACAAGACTGAAGGTTTGTAACTGTATACATCAACTCACTGCCCTGCCAACTCGCGGCCCTGCCACCGCAGTGGCGTGCCGATAGCACGCCACTGCGGTGGCGCTGCTATCGGCAAGTTCACCGCGGTGGCGCTGCTATTGGCAAGGCCACTCCTGGTTCCTGCTCGCGGTTTCCAAACGCGCGTCCATGAGCCCTTCAGTTTTCAGTTCTAGAGCGCAGCTCTTAGGCGCCCAGGAGTTTCCTCGGGAATTGAAATTAGGGGGGGGGGGGGGGGGCATTGACAAGAGAGCAGTCGTTGTGATTAAGAAAGTGCCTTCGGAAAAACAAGGGGGGGGGGGGGGGGGAGTCAATTTCCCAATAAATTTAGGGGGGAACTTAACCTGCTAAATTTAGCGAGGAAAATTTCGCTAAATTTCTCACTAAATGGGAGGGGAGGGGGGAGGGGGAGGAGAGGCATACCCTTCCTTCCGTATCGCCCCCCCCCCCCCCTTCCTCCTCAAGAGCTGCGCTCTAATTTCACATTACAGAAAATTGTCAACGTCTTTAATTTTTTTTTCCTCTTATTTTGTTCGCTTTACTTCATCAATGCCAGAGCAGGGCAGGTAATTGCCACTTAAGGTGCTGCTGTGTACTTCTCCCTAGCATAAGCCTTTGTAGAGGCTGGTGAACACCTGCTTCAGTGGCTCGAAATGTCGGCAAGGCAAGAGAAGGTCGGCAATGGCGGCTCAATCGGGCGCGTGTTTTAAAGCGTCTATAAGCATATCTACCGTATTATTCCAGGCTATATAGTTAACAAACTGTATACACGTCTAAAATTTGAAATTCTACGCGCTACGTACTATCTACGGGTTTGTACTGCTATGCACAAAATGTTTATCTTTTTTTTTTTTCAAGATTGTTTGTTATGGCGAGACGGGACGGATGTTGTTAATGACAGCTTATTTTAATAATGATTCATGCATAATACAAGTTTCTATGTGCGTTAATCAAATAGGCATATTTCGGTGTAGGATAACTTTTTTTTTTTTTTTCGTGCAAGCTCTGTCACCGTGGTACGACTATAATCACCAAACGCAAAATATATTATAAAAAAAAAATTGCATTTGGTTTTTGTTTTGCGGACTATGCTTCGTAAAATACGGTAGGGCCGCTGATAGGCCGCTGACCAAGTAAGTGGTAAGAACGAGCAAGTCGAATGACCTGCCTTGTCGGAGCAGGAATCGTCGGAGTCGCCCGTGAGGACCGCCGAGTCGTCTTCGCACAGCTCCCCTGCCGCCGGTACGGGGGCCCCCTGCAACAGATCAGACCCCTGCAGCGGCTGCGTAGATGGCAAACGTCACCCGGTCGGCGCCTTTAACGTGCACCGTGCAATATTGCGCTTACAGGAACGCGCACATCTACGAGTCTCGAAGCCGGCACGACCATGAGTGTCGAACCGAAATTTTTATCGGCTCAGTTTGGGTTCGCGTTCGGGTTCACGGCTTTCGGTTCGGTTCATTTTCGGGGGGAAACAAATAACGTTTCGAACCGGTTTGAAGCGGTATGAACCGCTAAATTGAGAATATACTTTCTGCGTTGTTTTGGCAATAGGCACTATTTCCGCTGTGAAAGGATGCTATATAGTTTCTCATCGTTTGTATGTTAATGCCACTTTTATGTTCAAATCTCCCCCCCCCCCCCCCCAAAAAAAAAAAAAATTACGTTATTTATTTTAACAGCAAAGGAAAATCTAGATTGAGTTACATAAAAAAAAAAAAAAAAACGTTCTGTTTACACGAGTCAACATCAATTTGTTTTAACTGAATCCAAACGTTGTCACGAACTGTGGTATAGGTGGCGTGGACACCCGTGAATAATACAACTTTGCGTCGCAGTATAAAAAGTTGAATCTATAGTTGTGCTCTTGAACTAAGACATTAATTGCAGGGCATATAAAATCATCGAATACGCACCTCGTCGCCATATGTCATCATGAAATATAGTTTACCAAATACGTTCCACAATGATGACACAATGAAATATAGTTTACCAAATACGTTCCGCAATGATGACACAATGAAATATAGTTTACCAAATACGTTCCACAATGATGACACAATGAACTATAGTTTACCAAATACGTTCCACAATGATGACACAATGAAATATAGTTTACCAAATACGTTCCACAATGATGACACAATGAAATATAGTTTACCAAATACGTTCCACAATGATGACACAATGAAATATAGTTTACCAAATACGTTCCGCAATGATGACACAATGAAATATAGTTTACCAAATACGTTCCACAATGATGACACAATGAACTATAGTTTACCAAATACGTTCCACAATGATGACACAATGAAATATAGTTTACCAAATACGTTCCACAATGATGACACAATGAAATATAGTTTACCAAATACGTTCCACAATGATGACACAATGAAATATAGTTTACCAAATACGTTCCGCAATGATGACACAATGAAATATAGTTTACCAAATACGTTCCACAATGATGACACAATGAAATATAGTTTACCAAATACGTTCCGCAATGATGACACAATGAAATATAGTTTACCAAATACGTTCCACAATGATGACACAATGAAATATAGTTTACCAAATACGTTCCACAATGATGACACAATGAAATATAGTTTACCAAATACGTTCCACAATGATGACACAATGAAATATAGTTTACCAAATACGTTCCACAATGATGACACAATGAAATATAGTTTACCAAATACGTTCCACAATGATGACACAATGAACTATAGTTTACCAAATACGTTCCACAATGATGACACAATGAAATATAGTTTACCAAATACGTTCCACAATGATGACACAATGAACTATAGTTTACCAAATACGTTCCACAATGATGACACAATGAAATATAGTTTACCAAATACGTTCCACAATGATGACACAATGAAATATAGTTTACCAAATACGTTCCACAATGATGACACAATGAAATATAGTTTACCAAATACGTTCCACAATGATGACACAATGAAATATAGTTTACCAAATACGTTCCGCAATGATGACACAATGAAATATAGTTTACCAAATACGTTCCACAATGATGACACAATGAACTATAGTTTACCAAATACGTTCCACAATGATGACACAATGAAATATAGTTTACCAAATACGTTCCGCAATGATGACACAATGAAATATAGTTTACCAAATACGTTCCACAATGATGACACAATGAACTATAGTTTACCAAATACGTTCCACAATGATGACACAATGAAATATAGTTTACCAAATACGTTCCACAATGATGACACAATGAAATATAGTTTACCAAATACGTTCCACAATGATGACACAATGAACTATAGTTTACCAAATACGTTCCGCAATGATGACACAATGAAATATAGTTTACCAAATACGTTCCACAATGATGACACAATGAACTATAGTTTACCAAATACGTTCCACAATGATGACACAATGAAATATAGTTTACCAAATACGTTCCGCAATGATGACACAATGAAATATAGTTTACCAAATACGTTCCACAATGATGACACAATGAAATATAGTTTACCAAATACGTTCCGCAATGATGACACAATGAAATATAGTTTACCAAATACGTTCCACAATGATGACACAATGAACTATAGTTTACCAAATACGTTCCACAATGATGACACAATGAAATATAGTTTACCAAATACGTTCCACAATGATGACACAATGAAATATAGTTTACCAAATACGTTCCACAATGATGACACAATGAAATATAGTTTACCAAATACGTTCCACAATGATGACCCAATGAAATATAGTTTACCAAATACGTTCCACAATGATGACACAATGAAATATAGTTTACCAAATACGTTCCACAATGATGACACAATGAAATATAGTTTACCAAATACGTTCCACAATGATCACAACACTTGTTTTCCTAACCAACATTGTTTACACTCAACACCGTGATGCATGTAAAACATCATGCAGAAAGTATCAGTGATCCAAATTGTTCACACTAATATATACGCACCTTTGTATGCTCAGATGAAATCTGTACTAAAATAGGGCGTACCCAAGAATAAACTTGCACCCTGGCTGTTGAGGTTTGTTCTTGACGATATGTCGATCTATTCAATTTGCAGATAAGCATCACCCGTGCTAATTGATGATGTTTTTTTGTTAAATAGAACAAATTACTATTTTATGCTACTCAACATGGCAGCTACTTAATTAGTCAATTTCTGACGCGCCCCTGTGTACTTTTTGTCCAGCCCACAGACACATAAGACTGCTGTTCATAACATAAAATAAGCAATAGCAGACTTCCAAGTTCTATATGTAAGTACGAGAAGTTATATACATGTGTCAGGAACACATAGTTATTTAAATCGAGGATTAAAACGCCGGAAAATACTCGCAGAGCATAAAATATATTTTCATTATCATCAATAAATTTGTCTGTATACGAAGTTCACATAACCGCTAGAGGCCGACACGGGAGGACGATACTCGAAGATACGCCGCGGTTGAATTGAGCCGATCTGCGGAAACGTACTTTTTTGTTTACTTTTTGGCAGTGTGAAACACCGAGTCACCGTCGCGGGGTATGCCGAAAATGACCTTGTGCACACGTGATAGATGTGAAGGCAGATACAAGACAGTTGCAGATAAAAAAAAAAAAAAATGGAATTTAAAAAAAGATCCGATACACGATGCTGCAAAAAAAAAAAAAAAAGACGACATAAAGATGAAATTATATTTTCTATTTAAGAGTAAATTGCTCGAAGGATAGACGAAGATTATTATATTACTAACATAAGTCACATCTGGGCATCGGCTTGCATAAACTTGAAACTTCGCGAAATGCTGCCTCTGGAGGCTAATGTTAGATTTGGTATTATGTGCACTTGTCTTGAACCCACGACTCTCTGCTTTATCAGTCATGCGCTCTAACATTTTATTAGGCTGTCACATGTACCCATAGTGCGGGACTGCTATATATATATACTGCACAACTTTACAATTTGGACATCTGCTTTTGCTAGCGTTGCGAGCATCGGTATTAGCGCCGAGATGTTTAGGTGGGGCGCTCCTATGGTTTCCTTTCGTGATGTCACGAACGGGGATTGCCTTGCCTCACTGTGAACCGGCGATTGGGCAGGCATTATCATAATATAGGAAGTTAACCTTTGGCTAATCGCGGACTTCTACCACAACGACGCTTTTGGTAGCACACGTCGCTAATTTACCAGGAAACTGAACTGTTTAACATGGTTTGCACGAGGCAGTTCCGCAACTGAGCTATTTAGTAACGTTGGTCGAAGTCGTGATGTCATCTGACCTCACAGTGTCAACAACGCTAATACGTTCTCAAGTTAAATCGACTTGACACAGTGAGTCACGGGGCCACGTGACGTAACGTTAACTGACAGCATATTTATCAGAATGAGGTCACGTGACCACGTGACACACAAGCTTAATCATAGTGCCAACACGAAAGCCGCCACGGAAACCCACAATTTCTCATCCATTGCCATTCTGATATATATGACGATTTGATCAATATATGCGGAGCCCAAGTTCGTCTGCTTCTTTTGCAGTTGGTGTGGTGACGTCAGAACGCCGAGCTCTGCCTGATTCTGATTGAAGGATAGAGGGTAGACCTCAAGGCAGTTTGCTTGGAGGTCTACGCTCTATCCTACAATCAAAGCCAATCAGAGCTCGGCAGACGAATTGTGCTCCGCATGGAAATAGCGCTGTCAATTTTTGGTTCCTCGTATATTCCTTTCGTGATATTAACACAAAATAAAAAAAAAAAAAGACCGTGAACCATTTCGAACTGGTTACCTTTATGTTTTTTTTTTTGTTTTTTTTTCCCGGTTCAGCTACGTTTCAGTTTCAATATGGCGGCGAAGATTCCGGTTTGGCTAAAAATAACCGTTCGGTTCCGGTTTTCGGTTCGGTTCGGTTCAGCACAACGCTAAAAGTCACGTGAAAAAAAAAAAAAAAGTTTGAAGCACTGCGCAATGGCGGAACAAGCGACACCACAGTAAGTGAGGTTCTAAAACTACATAAGCTAAAAATAAGTGGCCCTAGTGGAGTTTCTGTGATTCACAGATCGGCGGTGTCATTTGTGTCCGTCATTGTGCAGGGATTCCACAGCTTCCAACAGAGGACCCACTTTCGAAAGGGGATCTGTTGCGAATGTATACCTGGAGGTGGCTGAAGTCTACGCCGGCCCCTTGATGGCCACGGAGGAAGTTGGGGGCGTAGCCGGCGGTCGAGTCCGCGTACGCCGGTGCCATGGGCGTCAGAACGGCGTAGTCCCCTCGCTGGTCGGCCGCCGCCGCCGCCTCGTCCATCCTCGCCGCCGCCGGGCTGCCCCTGCCACAAGCACCCCTTCGGATGAATAACGTCGACGATTGTGTGTGCTCGCGGCTCACACACACTCACTGCCGATACATCATACAAACGGCGGTCTGCAGACGCTGTCAGAGGCCTGCCATGTCACATCGGTGATACAAAAACTGTCTGCGGTCATGTTCGAAACGTTCATATATGTACGAAGTAAACATGCCTCGAACTTGGTTAAGGCGTGTCCACGGTTCATCTCCTCATCATGCCTGCAACAATCACTCTCAGGGA